TTCAGAATACAAACAATAATATGGAGATAATAAATAAAGAAAAAATTCGATTTTGTTGAGTTGAGCATTCTTAAAGTACACTCTAATTTATGAGCAGTACAGTAAAACACAGTTTTTCAATCTTAAGCAAACATCAAAATCTTGAAAGACTATATCAAACTTTACTGACATACAGAATTGATCTGTCATTAAGCATCACATTAACCGGGTATTTAGTACTAAGTGTATCATATATATGAGTGGTTTGTGGTGATTTATCAGTTTGTAGTTTATCAGCATCAACGGACTTTAACTAGGCAATAAGTATAGTTGAATGCTGTCCCTGGGGTGTTGCCACCAGCACAGTTAAATGCAATCACTTCTCACAATCGCTTTGGCTCTGCAAACCTTCGGCACTATGAACATAACAGAAGTAGATTCTCTCCTGGAGCATCCGATTCAGAAAAGGAGTCAAAAGCTACAAGGACTTTGTTTGTTGGAAGTTTAGAACCAGATATAACGGAAAAAGAGGTACTCTCAGCTTTTGAGAGGTATGGTTATGTTGAACAAATTGATATTAAGCGTTCTCCGAAACCCGGTGCTCATTCTTATGCATTTGTACGCTTTCAGAATGTTGATATGGCCAGTCGTGCAAAAATGTCCATGTCTGGTCGTTTTATTAGATCCTTACATTGCAAGATAGGCTATGGTAAAGCGATTCCATCGCACTGTCTGTATATTGGTGGATTAGAATCTTGGCCTTCCGCTGATTCACTGCAGCGTATGCTCTCTCGTTTTGGACAACTGATTTATCTTGATTGGTCTCCTAGACGTAAATATGCAATCGCCATTTATGACAGCTGTGAATCAGCACTCGAAGCTAATAGACAATTAAAAAGTCTCTCAGCAACTAGTCGTCCAAATTTAAGACTTCGTGTAGATTTTATAAACGAAATATATCATAAATAATCAGATCCAATAAAGAAGCCATTCAATGTAATAATTATAGGAATAAGTATGTAGCCTTAATTCTCCCAATTATAGATCATCTGGAGCAAACTATAAATCTACAGCATCGAGTAGAAATTCGAAGAAAAAAGTGAAAACATAACCGCAATTTTCAAATTATCTTCTCTTATTGTTACCTTTTCAGCAGTCAGATAGCCTGGATCAATGCAACTTGTCAAACCATAAGTAATAAGCGAAATACCGAGAAAGGTAAAAAAGCATACGAAATGAATGAAATCCTGTTCAATGAAAACAACTCGATGTAGTTCTGAAACATGAATAACATATAAAGAATAATAATTTAATTCATAAAGATTAATAAATGATTAATTTACTAAAATTATGAATATTTTATTTTAAAAAATGGACTTGCTAAACAATAGATATTGTTAAAGAGGAAGAATGTATCTATAAAATCTCAGCGAATGAATTTGAAGTAAATTCAACGTTTCGCCTAACAATCTGGTTTAAGCTTTTTCAAAGAAATATAATCAAACATCAAAATTATCAAATAAGATATGTTACACATCAACATGGAGCCCAAATATTGTGAAAATATCCGATCAAATTTAGACGAAAGTTCTTATTTAGTAGATATTCTTATAAAATTTACAATAATTTATATTAAACTGTAATCTCAGTTGACAAGACAATACATTTTCCAGATAAATACAAATGACAGAAATAAGAAATGTGACAAAAAATGACCTACTTCAACTTAATGAAATATGAACAGTTGGAAAATTCATTCTTTATCTAAAACAACTGAATATTATTCAAAAAAATTAACAACAAAAACACATGTCCTGGTAAAGATTAGGTTATGATTGAACTGTCAATTTTGTAAAAGCTGGATGTAAGCAGATCAAGATATAATATAAATAAATAAATACTTGTCTAGACAATATGATTCTATACATTCTTATTAATGATCAAGTAACCACATTAACTCAGTAACTCTATTGTTAATGATATGATTTCCTGTCTATGACACTCAAGTTAATTAATATTTAAGAATTCAACTACTGAAAAATGATAATAACATAGGTATATTGTATACAAAAAGATTTTACTGTCATTTACAAAGTAATTATTAGCTTCTAGTCTAATAAATAAACAATGACTGTGTTAAATGAAGTTGAATTTAATTTATACTATAGCGAACTCCATCAACATAAAACATGACGGTTTTAAACTGTAATTGTTTGAAGCAATCTAATCCAAATGATGGAACAAATTGACAAGTAAGATGATTGTACCATCTTTAATTTAAAATCGAAATCATTACACTTAGAATTGAATCACATAAATGGTAACATATAAATGTTTTGATTAACTCACCGGATTCACATAATAATAAAGGCAATAATACACCTAAACAAATGGTAATATGAAGAAAAGGAATGAAATAACGTCGATGAACTCTTGCATATTGATATAATTGATAGCACATTATCGTCTATGTATGAAAAAAACCATCATGTCACTAATTAAGTAATTGAAATATCTGAAAACACAAAACAATAAAAAGAAATAATGAAAGATCTTATGGACTAATATTTTTTTATAAAATTATTTCTTAACATACTGGAAACAAAACAAGACCAGAGTATGATAATTATGATGATGAAAGGGAATTTTGACTGAGTGCTTGTTTTTAAATACATTCATCAATGAAAACAACAATTCTATGAACGTATAGTTTGAAGTTATTTCCACTGTACATGATTGAAATAGTTATAATTTAACAGAAATAGGTTAGATTATCAAGTCAATAAAAAGAGGAATTTTAAACACATACTGCTATTTGTAAAAAAATTTATACTGTCAGAATTCGAGTGATCAAGTTACACAAGCCATCTATGTGAATGTAGAACTTAACATGCCTACACTACACTACACTCCATTAAGACCGAAGATAATAAAAGGATATGTTGACTGTTAAATAAAGAATAAACTGAGAAACTATGCTGGATTTGGAATTTAGAACTCGACTGATCTGACCAACTTCTCTGTCCAAGTACTTCCACTTCAATGACCGAAACATCCTACAACAGAAAACTTCTATACTATCGTAAAGTGAACTTCCATATTAACTCCTGTAATTTAAAAAATCAGCTTAATTTGTTGGATAACTTTACAAATGCTTTATCTTCCATTGTTTGAACAAACTTCCTAACTATCAAATTTAACTACTGAAGTAACTGTAGTTCTCTTTTTTGGTTCACCAATACCTACAGTAAGCAGTGAATTATTCTTGTTGCGACACGTCATTAAAACGTATTTGTAAACTTGAGAAAGTGGATACCTACTTCAGAGACTCGAATATTCACCACTTAATGCTGCTATCCGACATTAATTTATTTTAACACATAAGTATAGGTACAGGGAGGCACCAAATACATATGCGCCACACGAATTTCAATTGATTTGTGTGAGGGCTGTGATACTGCCCGGGTGCCCAAACCGAAGCAGGTGGTTTTCTTAGGGGACCACACCCCGAGCCTTCGACCTGAATGTCTGATCCACAAGGCAGTGGAGCATCGTAAGGAGATGCAGTCCCATGGTAGCCGGTGACCAACGATTGGTTCATACGCCATTTGTTCCGCAGGATACTGGAGCCCATGTGCACCATTGGTTTGGGGTCCGGTTAAAGCAGCGGACATTCGCTTTTCGTCTTCTCATTTTTGTAAACAACACCCCCGCCACGAGAAGGCAGTGAGTAGGACTTCCCTGGCAGAGGCTATATACGCATGACCATGTGAGAGCATTTCGAGAGGGAGAGCGGACTCTCCTCACTCTCGGCCGTACCAGGGCATTTGGAGGCTACAATTAAATGCTTACAGAGATGAAAAGTTAACGCTAATCAATCACCGAATAGTGGCCAATGTTATTTTGTCTAATCCTTAGCGGTGACCAATATCTATCGACAGTATATAGCTAAAAATTAAAAGCACAACAATTTGACACTTTAAGCAATAATCTGGAAATAATGCGAATTCTGAAATTCATTGAAAACAACTAAATCCGTAAAGAAATGAGTTAAAACTGTAGAATCAATAGTCAAGTCTCTAATTAATCTAATTAATAAATTACTAATTAAACTGATGATCAAAATATTTATACACTTAATTGGAAATACCTACACTTTCGCGGAAGTTCGATGACAAAATATCACGACCTAGTAAGTAGGCTTTTAGGCGTTAAAAATTTGCTATTAAAGACAACCCACTACCAAACAGATAAACCGGGTGACTCTTATTCTTTGGAGTAAAATAACTAAGAGATCAAAATGACTGTTTGTAGCCGCCTTAAATCAATACTACAACGCTAACCATGAGCAAGTTTAAACTGAATTTGTAGTAACCATATCCTGCCTCCAGGTCATTAACTTTTAAATGAGAAATGAAAATAACATAAATCCAATCCTGCAAGAGTTGAGCAGCCTGATAAGCTTAAACTAAAATAGACAGATCGATCTAATTATTTTCTGGAATGAAAAATACTTTTGTATCACAATTGATAGATACTCAATTTTAAGCTTTTTTGACATTCAGAAGTCCTGATTAATTAAGGAGCCAGTATCACCAATGAACTCAGTTACCTATTTATTTAATATTAATAAAACGATAAAGCTAGGGAATGAACAAAGTACACATTTGTAAGATGATCCAGTTAACCAATACTTCTTAGTTAATTTATTTAACCCGAGATGTCACTATAATGTTTATTTAACGGATATATGTGGTATGCAGCTAGATCCAATTATACATACTTCTGACGGTAAATCAAACCTTACAACGGCATCCCAACTTACTAACAACCAACTGATCAAAATAATGTAAACAACGACTTTGCAAAGTCAATTAAGACTGTACAACAATTTACCATAAATTTAACGTTTTTAATTAGTCTAAAATGAGATTTTGCAAAACTACAAGATTCACTTTATATCGCATTTCAAGACTACGAGAATTTCTTACGTTAAATTCAGGTCATAGATAATTAGATGAGAAAAATCTAACACTTTATTTACATGTATCTTGTAATAAATCTTATTTCCTTTTAATAGGGAAATAATTTCAAACTTTTTCTCTTGTTATCGAATCAAAAAACAGTATTCCTTTCATGCTGACATGAAGACACAGTGACAGATGAGTGTTCATATTTGTTACTGTAGCACAACAAGATTAGGAATCACATCATATGATGAATATTGTACATCACAGTAGAATACCCATTAGTTGTAACTACTGTGTTGATTAGGTCAAAAATATAGATGTTATAACAGGTCTAATGACTGACTACAGAGTATACACCACAAAAATGGCTAATACATGGGCTGTGCGATGAATAGTGGTTTAACTAGACATCCAATAAATTGGGAAGGCAACCAACGATAAATAATTAGTTACGTTACATAAGAAAAAACTCCAGAAAACCTTGAACATAAACCACCAACAAAATCCATATCAAATCCAATACACACATTATCACCAAAATAAAGAATATTAACCTTGGACAGACAAACACAATGCAACAGAGAAATTTAAAAAAAGAAACTAAAAATGAAGTATTTTTATTTCACTTTTTCCTTTAGATCTCTATCTACTAAGCAGTGAAACGAGTATCCATCCTCAAAAAAATGACATGTAACAACTACTACATTTATAAACAAACAATTCAAATATCATTCATATTGAAAATAAAAGGCCAGTAGATTAAATAGTATCAGTTTATCACTCGAAAATAATGTAAATAAACAACTTTAAAACTGACAGTAACAATGATATTAACAATTAAGCAGAAAAATCGTTCACTTTTTTTGTCCAAAGTTTTTGTTTGTTCACCAAGTAAACACAAAGAATTTTATTTTGTACAAGAAAATGACTTAATATGTAGTTTAGGGTGTATAAGTCTGTGTGTGTGTACTTATAGAAGTCTTTCAGTTGAGAAATTTACCTAGTAAAGTGGGAAATGTGAACATGAATCAAGGTATATCAAATAGTAATCCTTGTAACTGTCAATCCCAATAAAAACAGAAGAATGACATAATTTTTTATCTACGAACTTACACAGGTACACGCACTCATACACACAGTCATGCTAAGAAAATATGGAATATACTCGTTTACATATATTATTTGAGAAACAAATCACCAGTGTAGTTTTTGACACACTGACTGGACAATAAATTTACCTTTTACAACACACTTCATTTTTGTCATTATGCGCAACTTCTTTTTAAAAGAGAGGAGTAAAAAAATTTATAAATAAAAATTAATAAAAATCAGGAAACCAGTTCAGCTCACAGCACAGATTAAACAAAATAAACTTGTGAGCATTTTGACCTATTCGTGTGTATGTGACATATGATAACCGAAAGCGAAAAATAATTTTGGGGAGTTTCGTCTGTTCAACTCTTCATCAGATACACCAATAACTGAATAATAATTAGAAATAAATACAGAAATGATGGGTTGGATTGTTGGACATATCAAAATAAACAAAGTTACACATTTTATTAGATATAGAGTAAATTATTGGAAAATGGATGATAATTTTGTTTATATTTGTAGAAAATAATAATATTAGTAATAATGTGGTTTGGTTGACGATCACATTTCCTTCGGCAATGGTGGAGGTATAAAATCTTTTGACTGGTATGATTGTGTAACGAAGTAATACGCTAATAGAATAGCTATAATCAAAACAATTATGCTGGTAACCAGTATGATAGGATTGTACAGTGTGACTGAAAAATAAATTACAGAAATACGAAACTCGTAACTGACTATGATAATAACAAAGGTAAAAGAAAAATATGTTTATCAGTGCATCATAAAAAATTTCATATATATAGTACAGTCATGTTAGATCTATTATACTAGACTCCACTAACCAGCCTGCCTGCTAGTTAAATCATTCCAGTGGTTGAATGCACTCGAATCATATATTTAACGTTCAATAGATGATAAAACAGTACTACAATTGAAAGTATCTACTGTAAGTTAAGTTCTTGTATATATGAGTGGCATTTTATGCAAAGCAGGGCTTATTAGTTAAAGTCCTTGACTTTCACAACTAACAGGTTGCAAGTTTCAACCATAAGCCAACGACTTCAATTTACATAACAGGATAGTATTTCATTAGTCTTCTGACATCAATTTTCCCATAGCATATAATAAATTTGACATAAATAGACGAATACTTTCCTATGGCGAAGCATAGAATTTTACGCATAGTGACAAAATTGACTCACATGGGCTAGAAACAGGAACGGATTCAACCACTTCATCTAGCAATTCAGATTCAGATAATTCATCATCAGCACTAACTGTGTATGTGTGGATGGAAGAAACAAAAAGAGAGTAACAGAAATTGTATAACAATTAAAGAGTTTTAATACTTATGAGTTGTAAAAAGAATTTTATTCATGCTTGTAAAAGTACCACATAGCATGAAAAAAGGACAGAGCTAACAACATGTATTATCTACTTCGTTACTGATAGGTGATTTACTTCAAGCGATTCAGTGATGAAACCATTAAAACAAATAATGTAATAAATTATACGACAGACAACTTTATTTACTAGAAGACTGTGTTTGTGTAAGCATAATTCAATAGTGACAATTATCTCGCCATTCAGATACTTAATAGGATGTCATTTTAACCCGCACCTGCATAGTTTATAATTAACTTCTCTTTAGTCATATTAACTTGATATTGTTTAGGAGTCCAAACATAAGAGAGAAGTCAGAAGTGGGAATTAGAGAAAGTTGCACAATCTTGCTATTCCCTCACTAGTTTTGTTATTGATGACATTCTGGGAACAACTTTGAATGAGGTACGTAGTGGTACGGATTTGTTTATTGAGAAAATAAGTAGACGTATGATATTGGTTTATTGTGAGATGATAAGCAACCTATCAGTTGAGAATCAGTGTCCGTAAGAAAGCCATGGTGTTCTTACCTTATAAATCCAAAGTATTTCAATAAGACGAGCAGAAGCCTGTACGCGATATCATTTTGTAACGATCCTCTAGAAGTAGTGGAAACGTTCGTCAGTCAGCTACAACGTAGGACCAGGTATATATATGCATCGGTTCAAGTTGTCATACCTCATTAGCACAGCAAGATGAACACAGGATTCATAGTAGTAGTAGTAGTTAATGCAATGGTGGTAATGTTTAAAAGAAAGATTGTCTATAAGGATGTAGTTGTGTGAGTGTTGGTGATGGCTTGACAAATAGAATTAATTTACACACAATAAAATCCAGAAAGGATCATGGCAGTTTGGACCATCTTTGGTGCCACCGCAATATTAGGTCGAGACAACGGTGCACTAATGTGAGCAAGTTTGACCAATGCATGTATGACCATCCCCCGGTCACTTGGGGACGTCCGAGGGCTTTGTTTTCGAATATCGTTATCACTGAAGGATAGCTCACAGCCAGTGACATCATTATGTTAGTAATCATAAGGTCCAGAAAGGTGTTCGGGTTCAGTGACAATAAGTTGATCAGTATCACTATCATAAAATACTGACTTCTATGCTAGTGGCTCCCATATCGCGTACTAATTGCTGGCGTTGTGACTAGATTAACAAAGTAGAGGTAGTTAATTTATGACATGGCGACGCGGTATGAAAGCTGTCTAGAACTGAGAGTTCCTGTCTATCACAGCTCCACAGTTAGGGTCCTAGAGAAGGTAGAGTTTGGTGACTTGATATGCTACTAAATATAGTTCATTAAACATCCCAACGGTGATCTTTCCGTAGATTTTTTAACATTCATAAAGATGAGATAATCTCCATCTTAATTGTATTTTTCTCAGAACTGTATCTCATATTAAACGTTATTATTGCTATTGTCCACTAATTTTTATTTTATTTTTTGATCGTGATTTCCTTCCCTCATTTAGTTCTTCACAATATTATTACTTTATTTTCATGAAGCGTGTATTTTCGGTGTCTGACTGTAACAAAATTCACATGCGTTAAATAATAATTAAATTTCAAGCTAGCGATCGAAAGGCTTATTCGATAGCAGATGAGTCTTTACTGCACCATGTGAACGAAGTAGGTTAATGTTCTGTTCGTTGCTTAGAACTCCTGGATACCATGAGAATCATGAATGTGGTATATGGCATCTTTAAAAGGGATACTCTGCAAGTAACGTCTCTTTTTAAACATCAGGGGATTACTATCGAACCCGTACTTCCTGAAAACAACCCTGTCATCCAAAAGCAATAGACAGGGATTCTCCAAAAGAGGTCCCAAGAAGTCGACTGCATGGAAACTTCTCTAAAGAAAGAAATGAGTTTTCTACTCTTTGTTGTGTTGACATTTAGATGGCGATAAAATTAGTACTACCATCTTGAAACACTGTCTTAAATATATTTAGGGATGTCGTGGCACTACGAAACCCGTATACTGTAAACTACAGGTTGCTTATAAATAAATTAATATATTTGTAATATTCCAATAATATTACAAATATATTAATTTATTTATAACAATCTACTAAATGCTCAATTTATTCGAAATTATCAAGTCAAACCTTGGTAATGATACCTATAGGTTGCTTAGCTTAACATATTCTTGTATAAGGTTTTACACTAATCACAACTACAGAAGTGTACATATATTTTGTGAGCATAATTGCTACTATACACTATTCAAAAAAGTGTTTATTCTTCCGTTATTGATCTTCAGGGCAAAATCTAATCTATCTTTGAATATCAACAAGAAAAAAACTGTTATCAGTAATAGATATCGCACTCGTTAAACAAGTTGGGAGTAATTCGGACTCTATGGCTTAATAAATGTGTTGGTGTGTAGGGTGATAGGTAATAGGTTTCAGTCTCAACATGAACGCCAACACTGAGATTTAGGTGCAATCAGATGAGCCCCTAATAATCGTAAACGCGTGTCTTGAATTCACTTCTGGTCAAAAACCAAAAATATAGTAGCCGCTACCACGATATTATCTGAATACATATTGCTAACTTACGTTCAGGACTTTTTTCCAAAGTAGTATCCAGGCACGACGCATCTATACGATCATGTGAGGACAAAACCTCAATTTCAGAAACAGGATTTCCTAGACCAGCGGTATCGGAGGTAATCCCATCCCCTGTGGGAATAGTGGGAGTAGTTCCAAGAGGTAAACAGAAGTAAACCAAACGATTTACAACATCTTCAGCAGTTTCTGACAGAAATTTATAATCGGACAATGGTAGTGTAGGACAAGCAGGAAGTCGAACTAATACCCGTTGAGGTAGCAACATACGAGGAACTTAAGAAAAAGAGTGGAAGTAGACACTTATGAGTGTATATGTACATTAAGGAATATGTAATTAAAAGACAAATTATCGAAACATTTGTAAACAGAAATCCGAATCTAGGCAGTAAGTTCAAAGAGAGATAAACAAGTAATACATCTTATATAGATTTTGATAGACAGAATTTGATAAATTAACATGAATTTTTATGAAAATCCGGTCTAATAGAGTTTATAAAAATAAATTTTAAGATTAAAAACTGATTTATTCAGCTGGGCGAAAGTCAAAGCACACGTTAATATTTATATACACTGGTTTAGATCAAGTATTTATCGAACTATTAAGCTTTCTCACAACTTGGTCTCCTTTCCCAGTTAACTTGAAGTTGACTAGGTAGATTAAATCAAGTTCTAGTGGCACCAGCAACCAATATGAAGAGATATATTGTTAGAAACAGGTCATAAATCATATTAGTTAAACGTTGAATTCTTATTAATCTATAATTTAATAATCTAGAGCAAAAGTTGATAGGTTTAAAGGTAAGTAAAAACATACTAGTAGCGCGTTTCAGTTGATGACAAAAATAACTTTTAGTTTTCGTCATCTAAACGTTTTGATAATAGTAACTATAAGGGTTATGGAGAAACGAGTGTTTCATATGTATTTTATCTAGAACTACGGTCAGAAAGTGAACTTTGTATTATATTCATGGTGAATTTAGTTAGGCCAAATCAAGATGTTTACAACAATGGAACAAACAAGTTTGTGTTAAACCACCCTCATTATTCTGAAACTATTTAGCTGAGTTACAAAATATCAGCTACGTGATGAAAAATTCATATTAATACATATGTTATACAGGGATTTCTGTACTTGCAATGTTATTCAACTGTTTCAATACACGTCACGTTAAATAAAGGTAGTGGTTATTTGAAATATGAAAATATAATTAACCACTTACGGCACGTTAACTCTTCTTGATCTACAAGATATTTAACCACAGATTAAAATTACACTACAAACTTCAGTATTGTGCATGCCCCAAAGGGTGATAATTGTATGAGACTACACAGATATATAATGCAATTGAATATATTTTTTTAGTGAAAGAAAAACAAAATAAGACAGCTTTATTTTTCTACCAGGTTATCAGAATTCCTATGATGAACAATAATATTTATCAAAATTAGTTACTTAAAGCGAAAAATAAGATAAATGAATAAATATGTGAATTTATTTTTAATTAAATACTGAAAAATAGATACTTAAGATCAGATGATAGCTTACCTTCCAGTTCAGCACTGGTAATGTGTAACTCTTCTGTTAAAAGTTGTAATCGTGCTAGTATACTCCGTACAAGATCATTCCGTAATGCCTAAAAATTGTCAACGTAGATTAAATTATTGTAAGCAAATATCATCGAAATGTTACTTATTAGTAAGACTATTTGCAGTGTTAAAATAAGAATGAAAAAGTTTACAAGTTATAAAATATTACAGAAAAATGATACAAAAATATACCCCCAATTTATCCATCAAGTAATAATTGCCAGTGTTTAACAAGTAACCTTAATTGTTGTTTCAAAAATTTGGATTACAACGATAAAATACTACAAACACCATAGCGGTAAAATGAGTCAACATATTAGCCCAATTAAGTTACATTTTTTGATAATTCCCCAGGTTTTTGAAATTTTAATTCTTTATTTCACCTTAACAATTAAGTACAAAACATGTATTCAGCTCTGAATAATATTGTTTTACGTGTTAAAGTTAATGATGCAACCCAAATACCTAGCCGAAATAAGTGGAATAGGTTCTTAACATGGGTAGGACCTAATTGTCAAAAGCTTTAGCCACTTAGCTACTATTTTAATATCTGCATACATATTTCGATGTTAGGGGGCAAGAAACAATCGACATGAACCATTAGACGTAGGTTTCGTATTGATCGAACCTTCAGTCTCCCGTGAACTGATGCTCTCTGTATCTTTCTATGTCACAATAAACGATGTTATTATTGAACCATTTAGGTCATCTCTAACACAATGATGTAAATAAAAATCCTCAGGAAACATGGTATACTTTCTCTTAACTCACTAACGTTTACACTGCCCCCAAATGCCCTGGTACGGCCGAGAGTGGGGAGAGTCCGCTCTACCTCTCGAAATGCTCTCACATGGTCATGCGTATATAGCCTCTGCCAGGGAAGTCCTACTCACTGCCTTCACGTGGCGGGGGTGTTGTTTACAAAAATGAGAGGACGAAAAGCGAATGTCCGGCGCTATAACCGGATCCCAAATCAACGGTGCACATGGGCTCCAGTATCCTGAAGGAACAAATGGCGTATGAACCAATCGTTGGTCACCGGCTACCATGGGACTGCATCTCCTTACGATGCTCCACTGCCTTGTGGATCAGACATTCAGGTCGAAGGCTCGGGGTGTGGTCCCCTAAGAAAACCACCTGCTTCGGTTTGGGCACTCGGGCAGTATCATAGCCCTCACACATATCCAATGAGATTTTTGTGGCGCATATGTATCTGGTGCCTCCTTGTACCAATATCTATGTGTTAAATAAATAAATAAATAAATAACGTTTACACTATGCAAAAGTTATCTGTATTAACTGACTTAACCTGCATTATGCTACACTGAGAAATTCATTTCAATAACCTAATTTTAAAGAGTAATTCACTGTTTTTTTCTTTTGCTTTCTATAAAGAACTTACGTTTCTTAGAATTTAAATGAGCTACAAAACATCCAATTAACCCGTTAGCTGTTTTTAACGAATTTTCGTTACTTGTCTAACATAGATTCCGCTAACCAATAGTATTTACCAGTGAATGTAACTTACGATTGGTTCAAAGTGCTATATCTTTTGTATTATTTAATATCAGGTAAAATATTTTAAAACAAGGAACAGAAAATATGAAATGCACTCTGAAATCTTTACTGAATTTCTGAATAAAAAGTTTTTGTTACCGATTACTTTCCTGCAAAAAACGAACAAGTTTAAAGTGTAAGCAAAATGATATTCAAAAGAAATTAAATTAACCTTTTGAAATACATACTCGTGAAGTATGTACTTTACGATAAAGGTTTAGTATTTAAAAAATGAATTAGGAAATATTAAGAATATATGCATAAGAGATTAGCTAACCTCGAGTAAGTCTCCAACACTTGAATTAGCTGGTAGAAACGCTATTCCAGGAATTCGGCCATTGATTAACAAGCGATTAATGGGAACGAAACTACCTGAAGAATCATTAGTATCATTTCCATTATTCATATTTGTATCCGAACTAGCACCAGATTCAAGTGACGATGACGAGCTTGCACGCTGCCATTGAGGAAACTGGAAAGTGGAATTGGAGTGAAGAACCCAAAGGTCACAGGTTAATGTACTAATAAAAGGAAACCTAATTCAATAGTAGTCAGTAATTTCCTATAATGCCCATCCAAAATTGAATTTTATTGAAATTTTTAGAACCGATTTGAGAAACCCGATACACTGGCGTATTAGTCATAACAGTATGTGAGCGTAATTAGAATTCCTTCTACCTATAATAGAGCATTTGCGTGAAACTGTGTAGAACCAGCCTAAATGGCACAGATACATTCAATTTGCCTGAGTTTTAAAGTTATCATAAAATTTATTTCATTAATCCATTCTTCACAAGTTAAGTCGTTTATGCTACCGATACTGCTATTATTTCTACTGCTCTGGGATTCGTCTTGATGATTTCATCTAGCTGAGTCAATATTTTATTACAGCTAGGACCAATACATATTTATTTATTTAGACACAAACATTGGTACAAGGAGGCACCGAATATACATGCTCCACACAAATAATTTGATTTGTAGGAAGGTTGGAATACTGCCCTCGTGTCCAAAGCCAAGAAAAGGGATTTTTAGAAGGCCAGGCTCTGGGGCTTTCACCTAGAGGTCTAGTTTACATGATACTGGAGCAACGTTAGGAGATATAGTCCCATGGTAGCTAGTGACCGACAAAAGGTCCATACACCTTTTGTTCTCTTAGGACCCTCGAGCCTATGTGCATCATTGGTTTGGAATCAGGGTTTCCCAACTCTCCTAGGTGGATCCTCCATACCCACCAACCAGGTTAAAGCGCCGGACATTTGCTATTCTTTCTCTCAATGTCATGAACAACACCCCCGCCACGACAAGGCAGTGAGTAGAACTTCCCTAGCAGTGGCTGTATACGCGTGGCCACGTGAAAGCATTTCAAGATGGAGAACTGACTCTCCCCACCCTCGGACGTACCAGGACATTTGGGGGCATTCATACATATACGTGCATATGACTGATAACTAACTAATATCACATTCAGATCGCCTTAAAAAACTTTAAGCTATTAAGCATAATAGCTTAGTCTCGAGGCCCACTGAATGTGAAGTCAAGTCTACACTTAACAACAAACAATAAATGCTGAACTATTGTCAACCGATGCTGAGGATGATTGTTGAATAGGCAACTGAATTCCAACCACACCAAGATTCAAAGACAGTATTTTGGAGTTATAAAAAACTAATAAATATGAAAGATTTATGGAAATTACTTTTATAGTCGGTGATAATTCAGCGTAATCACATCTAATATGTGAAAGTAAACGGTACTTCTTACCTATTGAAAACTGAAAAGTGGAACGGATTTATTAAATATGAATCTACTGCCGTAATTTAAATTACTTTATCACTCAACCACAATTATAAAGTCGTGTAAGTCCCCAACAGGTTAAACAAAACAGAATTGGAAATGAAAATAACGACTTTTACATTAAGAGGTTAGAACATCTGAACGACATCGAGAAACAATCGAAATAGGTTTCAGGTGCCTGAATTTACGGATATTTATAACACCCTTAAAATTTATACATGAGTAATAGGGAAAGGAAGTATGGGTGATGAGAATTTGCAGCAACGTTTGTATATAGGGAAATTACTGAATGGACAACTATGAAGTAGATTATACGGTTCATTACATTGGCTTGCGTGATTAGGTAGTTACATATATTGTGGTTCTTAGTGTGTTGTATACATCTGTTATTACTTGCTTAAATTCATGTTGTTCAATACATAAGCTTGATGATTGAAAATCCTAGAAACAAAGAAAATGTGCTAATGCTCAAAATATGGGCAATCTGCTAATATGCTAGTACGTTTCATTTACCTTTAGCTTGATACTTTTCTATTAATTTGACCAATCAAGGAACACAGCATGTCAACCAAATAATTATAAATAATGAATCCTTTATGATAAATGAACAAGTTAAACTACTAAGTCGTTCCCCGGAAACGATAAACTTGATATTACAGAGTGAAACTAACAGAGTAAACTAAATTAAATCATTGGCATCCATTCTGGAACCATTTCTCTAGCTTATTTCCTATGCTATATTTACAAGCATATATAGGTACATAGCTTAGTCGACCACATCGTCACAAAATCGGACTAGAAAAACTTATGTAAATCCAAAAGCGCGATAATCACACTTCATATTTGTTGTATGCCAAAATATAATCTTACCACAGTGAGGGCCCTAATATTTCAAAAAATAGCAAACACAAATTTTAGGCATAAGGAGAAACATCGTCTAACATGGCGACCCCCTACACCAAACCAACGATGGACTCAAATAGACCATGTCGCCATCAGTCATCGTTGGAGAGGGTCAGTAGAAGATTGTCGCTCATTCTGGAGTACCTGTTTGAACTCCGATTATGCTCTAATACGGGCACGCATCTGCTTGCGCCTAACTGGACGCAAAAAAAGCCACACTAAAAAGACCCATTAGAACTGAATTGAGTAACGAGAAAACCAAAAGTAGGTTCCAGGAACAACTGATGTCACCCTTAGGTAGTTCTGAAAACGAGGCTGACCCCGATGTTGCTTGGAAAGACATACAAGCAGCTGTGGAAACAGCAGTGACATCTACTAGTGATTTAAACCACAGAGTTACAAAGAACCAATGGATTTCTTCAAGGTCTATTTCACTGGTAGATTCTCGTAAACTCATCCCATCAGGTTCTGAACACGATGAAGAGCGTAAATAAATCAGAACTAGGTTAAGCAAAAGTCTAAGGAATGATCGTGAGCAGTGGTGGGCAATGAAAGCAAAAGAGATGGAAAAGGCGGCGGCTATAGGGAACACAAGACAACTCTACAGACTAATAAAACAAACTGGAACTAATAAGTCAAGTGTAAGTCAGACTATTTCGGAAAAATACGACACTCTCATCTGCTCCCAGTCCAGATGTTTAGAACGATGGGCGAAACATTTTAAGGAGCAGTTCAGTTGGTCTTCAGCTACTCTACAACTACCCTCTATTCCTAGACAGTATGAATGGAACATTGAAGTAGGTCCCCGAACTCTAGCTGAAGTTCAAAAGGCTATAGCTAATCTGAAACGAGGAAGAGCAGCTGGTCAAGATGGACTGGCTCCAGAGGTCTTTAAGGATGGTGGTCCGATTTTAGTGATTAGGTTGACTAGTATTTTAGCTAAAATCTAGGAGTTGGACGCAATCCTATCTAACTGGTCACAATCAGTTATCGTCCCAATATATAAGAAAGGGTCAAAATCATCCTGTGACAACTATAGACGGACTAGTTTGACTAATATAGTATCCAAAATACTAGCCTCGACAACTATCGGACGCCTAACTAAGACTCGTGAACTGCAAACACGAGAGAATCAAGCCGACTTCAGATGTGGTCGTGGATGCATTGACCACATATTCACCATTTGTAAGGTTTTAGAACACAGGCATACTTATCGGCGTCCGACAATGGCGGCCTTTCTTGACTTAAAAGCAGCATTTAACTCCGTGGCAGTGTCTGTCATTGAAAGGCGTACCTCAGAAGTACATAAACCTTGTGAAGGCTCTTTACTCGAACACTACTAGTCGAGTCAGAGCTTATGGCGAACTGTCATCTGATTTTTCAACCTCAAGTGGTGTCCGTCAAAACTGTCCACTTTCTCCATTTTTGTTTAACTTCATCATAGATCTACTGATGGAAATAACGGTCTCATCGACTGAATTCTCGGACATCGATTTCCTATCAGGAGGTCCACTTATGGACTTAGAATACGCAGATGACATAGTCCTGTTTGGTGAAGACGCTGATAAAATGCAGTCTTTTGGTAGCACTAAGCAACAACGCCATGATGTTTGGAATGAGCTTCTCTCCCTCTAAATGCTTGCTTCAGGACTGTTCTGCGTCAACACCTGAACTAAGGATAAGGAGTGAAGTAGTCGAACGCCTTGACAACTTCACTTATCTTGGAAGTCTGATCAGCCCTAATGGGTTGGTGTCTGACGAAATCTCAGTACGGATTCGAAAAGCTCGTTTGGCTTTTGCCAACATACGTTACTTATGGCGAAGGTGAGATATCCATCTGTCAATTGAAGGAAGATTTTACTGCGCGGCAGTTCGTTCTGTTTTAATTTACGGCAGCGAAACATGGCCATTAAGAGTAGAAGATACTCGTAAGTTACTGATACTTGACCACGGATGCCTTAGAAATATTGCGGGCATCTGCTGGGATCACTGGGTAAGTAATAGTGAGATTAGATGCAAGGCATTAGGGAATGATGGTAAATCAGTTGATGAGGTTGTAAATCTTCATCGACTGAGATGGTTGGGCCAAGTGTTACGTATGCCTGAACACCGATTACCATGACGTGCAATGCTAACCGGTGTTGGGGACGGTTGGAAGAAAGTTAGGGGCGGCCAAACCAAAACGTGGCATCAGTGCTTGAAGACACTAACTTCTAGTCTGAGCCATGTTGGTAGATGCAGACTACTTGGTTAGGGTCCCCATGACTATCGTAACCAATGGTTGGAGACGCTTGATGACATGGCTCAGAATCGATCACAATGGTTTAAGTGTATAGGCTCTCTGTTTTCCGTCAAGCCGTGAGATTAAAATTACTTAATATCTTTCTATGAGCTAATTCATTCTTCCTTTACTATATCCTTATATGCAATCTTTCTTTTATATATTACCACCACTTACTTAACAACTCCTATGAATTCGGTGTTCATCTTGTTGTGCTAATGCGATATGGCAACTTAGACTGATGCATATATGTGCCTGGTCTTACGTTGTAGCTGACTGACTGACTGAATATTTCAGAAAGACAATATGTAACAAAATTATACAGAGATAACAGTAGACATCAGTGATCTTGAGTACTGTTAGAGGTATGAACGTGGTTATCACTTCTGGAGGTACCTGAAACGGAAATTGGATTAGAGGTGGTCTTTGTGACCCGAGAGCGTGACCGCAGTGCCCAAGGGATAACTGCTTGAGGTCGGTCACACACGACTTTTTGTGGGTAATTTTAGTGTTAGCTCCGTACTTAATGAGACCTTACTGACGGAGACGGAAATCCGTGGAATAAGGCGAGGTATGCATTTTTATGGCCGACCTTTTTTAACCCCACCCCTCCTTGTGGAAAGGCAGCACCGCTGTTATGCTGGTTGTCTGAAGGAAACACCTTACTGCCATCACACCTCTGTATAGTAAGCAATACGACTTTGCCCTCAGACCTTGGGTTTGCAGCTTTTAGTCTTACCACTCTTCAACCGACCTGTCTGGCATGGTAAAACCTTGAGGAACGATTGTTCCAGCCAGTGTAGCTCGATTGGTTTATCACGATAGGCAAGCCCGACCACCACGTCAAGGTAGCAACAACGGTCGAGAACAATAGACATACTTGGAGAATAGTGCTCTTTTTCACTACCATGATATCGGTATAACAAAACTTTACTGGTTTATTATCTTTGTACAGTAATTTCTTTAAATTCAGGTACTATCATATAATTATTGAGTCATAAGACGCTTTAAGGTCGTGCAGAGTCGCTAGTATGGAGTAATATCCTTGGTATATTGAACAAATAAGCATAGTAAAAAGCTTTGACCAACACCTGCGAAAAGTGATTTACCAAGTGCGAATGCGTGTGCTTCACATGTGAGAACTAGTGAAACTGTCTAATTGCCCAAACCGAAATAGGTGAGGGTGAACCTGTCACCTAGTGCTTGAAAGTTGAATGTATTAATCCCTATGTCACAGCTTCACTGATCAATATCACTCAGAGTATCCATTTTAGACAATTCATTGTAAGCACTCTTCAATTCAAGCATTTCCCTCACTAACGAAAGTTCTCACAATGGATCCTGCCTTCTGAACAAAGAATAAGTATGAAACCTGACCTGAATAACCATGCTTGTATGCCAAAACCGGCTGATAAGTAATAACCCAATCAATTTACAACTTGGTTTTTCTAACATGCCCCATATAACAGTCCATTATAAGAGGGGCTTAGTGTTTATCCGTAATCAATAAATCAAAATGTCTCAGTTGAAGTTTCATTGCTTTTATGTTGTTTTAGCTGCATGGTAACTCATTTCTTACTAAAAGCTGATTCACAATACTCTAGTATGTGGTGAAAAAACGTTTGAACACAGGCTATTGTCAGATATATGAGGCGGTATGAAAGTCACTAACCTGTGGTCCGAAAATTACTATGTCAAGTGGGGTAAAAGCTGGACTAACAGACCCCTTGGCAATTGCATATTTTTTACTCCCCGCCGAAGTAACCAAAGAGTGATCTACATTAAGAGGCAAATCATAACGCTTTGACTTGGACGATTTTTTGTTCTTTTTGGTTTGGATGTTACCATCGAGGGGTACAGAAAAATCCGTATCTTTTAGTAATTTTTCATCAGCTTGATGCAATTCGCCATTGATCAGCAACTGTGTTTCGGTAACCAAGGATTGAAGGTAAGGTTCGACAGCAGCCTGAAAATTTAACGGAAATTTTGACCACTTGAAAGCAATGGTGAAATGGCAGGTTACTTTGGTTGTACTTGCTTTACATACATTATGCATTTAAAAATACGACAATACTAGTATTACTAGTAATTTTACACTTCCTGAATGGATTAACAAGCATTTTTATTTACAGAAATCTGTCAACAAAAGTGAACAAACAAGTATATTTAGCACTTTTGAATTTACCATAAATGGCTCACATTTACAGCAACAATAATACAGTATACTTCTCAAACATTCGCACATTGCTGAGCTTATTTATTTATTTATTTGAACACAAATATTGGTACAAGAAGGCACCAAATATATATGCGCCACACGAGGTGCATATCCATTATAGAAAATATAGTAGAGGGACTTTGCTCTCCTAACCTAGTTAAATAGACGTTACCAGAATAGAAACTGGTATAAATATACGTCAGTTTGACTTTTTAATCTCATAAATGTAACAGAAGAAAAAGCAAAGGATCAAAAGCAACGGAAACTGAAGTAATCGAAAATTAAAACGAGTGTACGGCAAAACTAATTAGACGTAAAGAGTATCAAGTTCTAGACTCACGAGAAAATAAGATACCACTCTATTTACACAATTGAAGTTGTTATTATGCTACCTTAACCTATCGCCAACCATTCAATACGATCAACATCTACGAAACACTCAATAAATCAGAGTAAGAGACTGATAACTGGGAATTCGACCAGTGTTGATCGAAAGATATCATGAAATAAAAAGTGGGGAACAGATAAACAATTATGTGATTACTGAAAACAGTAAGCTTTGTATGAATGGATGAATGCAATACTCACCATGGAAATGAACTTGTTTGGTACACTTTAATAGCAATGCTTGCTATTAGACCGCCTTTAGATGAACGAATAAAATGACAGTTGGGGATGAGTGAATAAGACATGAATCTAGAATTCGGTGATAAGGGTACTATTAAGAAGCTAACGGTTAGAACTGAAGTCGGAATGGTTTTCCTAGGTTCAATAACTACGGAAGACAAGATCTCGAAATTTACACTAATCAATTTGGTTCTTCTATTTTCATAGGATATTTTGTCATAAACTGAGATGATTGATAACCTAAATCAGTTACTCTCAAGTCGAATTTCAAAATTCTAGCTTATTCAAAAGGTCAACTAACAATCAGTCAGTTACAAGCAACGCGAAACCTGGCACACATGACTAAGAATGGTAAGTAATTACCACTAAACACCTCGGAGCTAATTTATCGCAACCTAACTAATTTTCACTTGAAATTGATTAAAACCTCAACAACGACTGGAAGCTCGGTGATGACATTTATTTCTGACTGTTGGCGAAGACAAGGTAGTTGAAAATAGGATATAGACTAGTTGGACTGCTTCTTAACATACTTCGCACACCACGCTAGACGCAGTGGCAGTGGCTTAATACAAGTCATGGAAGATAGGGATGTTTACTTATCAACCCCATTCACGGCCGTCGATATTTTCGAACCACTATGTGATGAAAAAAATCGGTTCCTCTCTGGCTTTTGATTTTTAAAAATGACGTTACACACTGTGTTGTTTCAAAACCAACCACTTGTTTTACCGTTTATGGAGCAAACCCGTGGACTACACAATTACCCACATAGTCGTCATATGAAATAATGCTGTGGTGACAGGGTAAACCACTATTAAGTTCATCGGATATACACATACTTATAAGTTAAATATACGGAAGAGTGAATGAGGGTATAACAGTAGTAAACCTTAAGAACAAGTCCAACTACATGCTTGAGCATACATAGGCTAAAAATAATTGTGAATACCTGAAGCTGATACAAGATTTTTTCCTTCTTCCGATCAGATGGTAAGTGAGTCTCCAAAGACAATAGTATGTGTGTTTTGAATGATACCCATCGATCAATGAATGGACGAATCTTTACTTCCACTGTTCGAAATTGGCTCTATCAAATAGAATAATATCATATAAAACATACATTAGATCCATCTGCAGCAGAAGCTTTGCATTGAAATCTTAAGGAAAAATATAAAATTGCAGACGAACATACTTTTTCGTTTTGGGGTCAGCCACCAACACCAGTTTTTCTGTACTTCTTGAACAAATAAACCTGTTCATGGGCGTATCATCCCGCGATATGTGAGAAAGGATCTGACAGTTAGTTAAGAGCTTATTACTTTCTGAATGTGATTAGTATGACAGTTGAATTCGCCATGAGGGACAGTCAGACAAATCCCACTTATATGAACACCTCCTGGAATCATCCGCGCAAGATTTCTACAATGTGATGCAATCCATTTTTCACTTAAATCCTCAATCATACGGGGCGAAACAGATAGATGGGGTGGATCGTTTGAAGTGTCATCTTTTGGAATGTCAATGGGTAAGAACAAGCACTCCTGGGAACCGAACCGCTACCAAATGAAGAATAAATAAGATGAACTTACTCCACCTATTATCACTCCACAACGGAACTCATCTACAGAGAGCAAACGATCTGCAAAACTATTATCAAACAAGACTTCTGCGATCATCCTTGGTATCAAATGAACTTGTAAATGGCGGGCTGAGATCCAACATCTGAAAACATAGTAGGCCAAATACACTATTGTCTGTCCGCATTCAAGCGTAGTAGATTTTTAAAGTAGTGTCGATAAAATATTAGTAGTATCCGGACAACTATCTTCCCTTCCTGATGTTCATGAACCAACTATTTTGTTATATAGCTACCTAGGTAAAAGAAAGAACATTGGAGTTAAGGTTATTCAGCATTATATTACACTTCGGATAGATAAGGGTTTATACTGTACATGTTTTCAATACTTTGGTTATGTGTGATTGTGACAGACCCAAACAATGGGTTGTGGAGATAATTAACATGAACCCATTTTGTTTTTTATTATTCGTACATTTTATAGTTTCAAATGGTTTGTACAGTTGCTATTATTGACTGTTAAGTGTCTGTTTGCATCCGACCCTGATCCTTCGTCATTGTTTCTTTCTCTGCTAACGTGACACTGATTTTCATTCATAAATATACTATTACACACACATTTCTCGTTCTCATATGACGCGATAACAAAACCCTAATATAATTACTATTTATATCCACAGATCACAAAGATATCCATATTGCGGATACACATTATCTTGCATTATACCTATCATATTTGGAATCGATGACTTCCTATAATTGTGGATTACGAGATGAAAACTTGAACACACTGGCTACTGATAATTTAAATAACTCCCTATGTCTTCTGTGTTTTTATTTGTGTATATAATCAACTGCCCCTATACCTTTTGCAGTAACTAACATCTCCGCCCGTTACTCTTCTAGGGTTTCCGTCGCTCCCAAGCCCGGATAAAGGGTGAGGGTTGGGTGTGGGGTCATTATTCCCACCCCCTAGAAAAAGAACTTGCAAACCAACCCTAGCTAAAAAACGATTTGAAACACTCAAACTCTGTTCTCTGAATGAAAGGGTCTTTATCAATAAAATTTTGACGCTTCATACTGAAAGTCGAGATTCTTCGGAAGTCACAAGGCCGGTTCCCCTTATAACAACCAAAACAACAAACCCTAGGTATGAGAAATAGACAATACTGGGTATGAAGATACACGGAACGACATAGACTGAATGGGAGAAATAAACGAGAATGTTGGGAGATTTTCAAACACATTAACAAAACCATATGTGTCTCACCGGATCACACTACAGCGAATCAGATCGATCACATGTGTATCACCAAAAAATTCAGAGGGTCAGTAGGTGTGAGAACCAAGAGAGAAGCTTCCACAGCTTCAGATCATCACCTAGTGGTCGTCAAGATGAAACCGAAGCTAAGGAAGCACTAGACAACTAGACAATCAACGTTAAAATGCTTAATACAGACCTTCTTCGAGATACTGACAAATACATCGAATCCAAGGTAACTCTCAACAAAAGGTTGCAAGCCTTACAGGATCTACTGAAAGAAGAAACCACTACGGGGGTTCACTGAGAAGGGATCAAATAAGCACTAACTTTAATTTACTAGGTTTCAAGTCTCAAATATGGTTCTCTATCTAAACACTGAACAGGATTCAAGAAAGGAAGAACAAGAAGACAGTGATTAACAACAGTTGAACAATAGTAGAGAAGGTCAAAGCAAAGATCGGATGCACAAAATAAACAAGAACATAGAAAGGAACATTAGGGCCGACAATCAGAGATACGTAGAAGGCCTAGTAATGACAGTGAAAAATGCCGCAAGTGAAGAAAACATGGGATAACTATATGATACAACGAAGAAACTATCGGAAGAATGAAGTAAATCGAGGTAGAACCTAAAGATCTGGCAATAGGCGTTACTCTAACGCTCGAAGAAATCAGCAAGGCCATCAGACAAAAGTGAGAAAGAGGAAGGAACTGACAACATGTCCGCTGCAACACCAGCGTCAGACAAGAAGCAACTGTAGAGATTTCCTACTTTCTATACAGATGTGCCTGAGAAAATCGTCAACATCATATGGAATTCATATGATGGACTACAATGAAAATTCGTGCACAGAGGTCAGCTGACAGATGCATTGTAAGTTAGCACCGGAGGCATAGTCCTCTCTATTTCTTCAGGTGGTTGACTGGATTATTCAGGTCTCGACATCTGAGAGAAAGCACCGAATACAATGGACAGTTAGTAAACAATCAGAAGATTTGAATTTCACAGATGACCTGATCTTTCTAACCTATACACACAAACAAACGCAAATGAAGACGACTAATGTAGCAGTAGACTCTGAATCAGTAGGCCTCAACATACATAAGGGAAAAAGAAAGATCCTCAAATGCAATACAAAGAACACCAACTCAATCACACTTGATAGAGAATCTCAGGGAGAGTTGGAAGCTTTCATGTACCTGAAAAGCATCATCGATAAACAAGGCGGATCGGATACAGTAGTAAAGGAGGGGATTGGTAAAGCAAGGACAACATTCATACAGTTGAAAAACAAATAGAACTCAAAACAACTGTCAATTAATGTCATAGTGAGAATCTTCAATACAAACGTCAAGACAGTTCTACTGTATGGAGCTGAAACTTTGAGAATTACTACAACCATCATAAAAGGATACAGGTATTCACAAACTGTCTTTCGTATCTGTAGGTAACCTTCGTTCTACTGGTAGAAAAAGCCAGACTAGTAGTCAACAGGTCTTTATTTAGCTCTTGGGACATTACAATGAGCGGGAGGTTATCTGTTCAAACATACAAATCTTTTCAACATTCACTGTAAGATAATAGAAACCATAATATCTATACGAAGTAAGGAAGTGAATAAACAATTGAGTTCTGTTGTTTTGACATATACTTATTCGTTTTAGGTCAATTCCCAACTAATAAACTTAAGTTGTCACATGTCTACTTATGATACTGAATGTCCGTTGGCCGGACATCATCAGCAACAGCCTACTTTTGGAGAGAACTAACCAGCTTCCAGCTGAGGAGGAAATTAGGAAAAGATGTTAGAGGCGAATAGGCTAGACATTGAAGAAATCAACAAACTGTATCATGAGATAGAATTCTGATGAGGAAAGTAAGAGAGGTAGACGAAATAGCACGTCGCGTCAGGATTAGGAAGCATTCATGGAAAGGACGAATAACAACTTGAAACAACTGGAAAGGACTGCACAAAACAGAGTTGGATGGAGAATGCTGGTGAGCGATCTATGCTCCTCCACGAGGAGCATTAGGCGCAAGTAAGTAATATGCGATCCTTCACAGGACCACTGGACCCAGTAGTTTCCTTTTACCCGATGAGTCGTACAGTTGGTTGCGATAAAGTTCCAAGACTAGGATGACGATTAAAGATGGAAGGGACCCAAAACTAAATGGAGCGAAATGAACAGCCCGATTAGTTGGATGAACGTGCCGTTGAAGTAAATCTCTCATTGAGATGTGCATGAATTCTTGGTCTAATCAGCTTCCAGCTAGTTACAACTGTCCAGTTAAAAGCACCAGTCCAACCAATAAATCAGTAACTTAAGGCAAAATGTCCTTTCCATCTTGTCGTGATGTTAGCTTAACAAGTAGATTTAAAAGTGCATAAAAAGTAAACAATCAGAACCAATAACAGGTAAAACAGTGCACGATATATCAATGTTTAAATATACATCAAGACATGCGAACGTATGACCAATAAATATAAAGTCGTTTCATCCAGTTTATGTTCGTATTCGCTGCCTATTTCAAGCAAAAAAGCGGTATCTATGGTTGTGTGTATTATTATTTAGCTGGCTCTTAGTAAGACTGAAGGCACATCCGAGAAACTATTGATCTATTGCATAAAAAATCGGGTTTTCCTGATAGTGTGTTATTTGATGGGTATCTAATTCAGTATTAGAACATTTATCTTTGCTACAGCAATAATAGATCACATTGCAAAATTTTAGACTCGTCTTGATGCAACTGCTTAACCCGTAAATTATTATGAAGAAGTCACAGTATAATTTACACTGACCCGTTCTACTGCAATAATCAGCAACACAACGTCTAGAACTTCTGAAGGACATATTTGATCTGGGAAGAGATTAGTATATTCGATACAGAAACAAGAGGTCAAAAAGGTAACCTCGCCCGCATGGCCGATCCATGTCATTCCTATTCCTTTGTTCCTGCGTTCACCATCACTGGCCTTCTCTGTGTTTACTGTTAAATGCAGATTTTCTCAGTTATCGTATGTTCAGCTTGTTAATAACAGATACCACTACAATTAAGTCTCGATATGCAGTGGTAGTCTTCCAAATAAATTACTTTAATTCGGTCACGTGAGCTAGTCAGCATGTTGTGAAAACAAGCTGGGTATAAATGTCTACAAAACTACCGTTTCCGTAAGTTATTTACTACTAAACTTTTATGATATGACCAAGTCATCGTAAGTCCGACATTCAGTGACCCAACAAACTAGGTTTGTTTTAACAGGTGCTTAACATTAGTCCTGTGACTAATTTTACTGCACATCTTGATACCAGTTTCAAGAAATCTTTATCTCATTTAGAAGGGCGAGATTCAACAGTCCTATAAGTTACAAGACATAGCTGGAATAGATCAAGAACATCTCTGAATTAAACATGCCTGATTGTCAATGAACCGAGCGAAATAACGTAAATTTGCCTGCATATCCCTTCTAGTTGCCAGACTGGTTTACGGACTTTCTGATGGCAAATATATTACGTACTAGATACTTCATAGGAAACGGCTACGGATTAGGTTTATGAAAGATTGGTGCTCATAAGTAGGAAAAAACATAGTTTAGAATTTTCGGCATTTGGGCTTCAGATTTATTTTTGTGACCACACCGGTATTAAAACTAGACATTTCTGATGCTCCTGTAATGTATAAAAACTTGAAGGTACCCACCTCTGATTTCAGAAAGTGACTTGTCAGCAGAACATATTCTATATCAGCAGCGTCAGTATACGTCACACGAATGAGTCCTGAATTGTAACGACCGAAATCTCAGCATTCGGTCTGAACGCAATACTAACGAACCGAAGTTTATTAGATTGGGCCAAACTGTGTACTTCTG